GGGGAAATGTGAGTTTTATTTAAAAGTAATTTTTCTCTAACAGGGTTCGTTCCTTCCTCTGCTGTATACAACACTGTTGTTGTCCCCTATCTAGTATCAAATGGTAAATTATACATATCATTTATACTGTTATTTTGCTGATATGTAAAAACTAGGAGTGAGTATCTCCTGAGTTTCTTAGTTTTTCAAGTGCAGTTTTCTTGGTTGCTCTGTGTTGTTCTGAAGCCCAAAAACATTGACTCTGTTCCTTGGTTTCGTCACTTTGTTTCTCTTATGAGTATTATTAAGGTGAAAACTATATATTAAAATCTAGTTATAACAAAAGTAGCTATATGATATATCTACCTATTGCAGAGATACACACTTACTTTTTTTTTTACAATGGACAAGTAAAGAAGCTGTTGGTTTGGCTGGAGCAGAAGCAGAGAAACCAGTTCTAGATTTCTATTACTATCTAAAGTAAAAACCAGTGTGGTGCTGTGTATTTGTACTTTAAGTATGTTTTTCATTTTGTGAGGTCTTGCTCTTTGTCCTTCTTTTACCTCAAAAGCTTATGCTTGACCTTATTAGGGCAAAATCAGGAATATTGATGGGCAATTATCATCAAAGTGAATTGTAAATTCACTGAAATTAAGTGTTATATTAAAGGATAAAACAAAGAGGGTCAAAATAAGATTAAGCAAAATTTTAATTGATAAGTCTATACTAAAATTGTTAAGGAAAATAGTACTTTTATGCAATAAACTTTGAGGTAAAAATATTGTATTCTAGGGACACAAAGGAGAAATGACAGAGGTTGAAGGATATTTCCCTAACTCCAGTGCCACACAGATACACTATTCCTTCATAGAAGACTAAATTCTTGTTTTCCTAAAAGACAAATATCTGGTTTGGCTTTTGCAGCTAGAATATCTTAACCTGTATATGGCACTAAGGAGGCATTTAATAAAACTCTACAGTTGAAGTCATAATATCTGCTCCTATAGCTTTAATATTTCCTCTCAATCCTGTCACAATATTGGAAAACAGCCAAGTGTTGATGGTATATACCTTTAATCCCAGCACTTGGGAGGCACAGGCAGGCACATCTCTGTGATTTTAAGTCCAGTTTGGCCTGCAAAGTGAGTTCCAGGACAGGTACCAAAGCTACACAGAGAAATCCTGTCTCAAAAAAGTAAACAATATTGAAAAAGACTCATTTTGTTTGGGTGGATGTGTGTTTTGGACAAGAGAGCCTCTCACTGATCCAATTCAGCTAGGTCTCAAAGATGTTCCTGTCTCCATATCTCCTCCAGCTTTATGTTTACAAGCACAAGCCACTTCACCCAGCTTTTACATGGGTGTTGGGAATAAAAAGTCAGGTCCTCATACTCGCACAGTAAGCTCTTTACAGAGCCATCTGCTCAGGTCCTGAGGGAGGTTAGTCTTTAAGGAAGGAATACACAGCTCTTATCTGGCTTCTATTCTACACTGCTTGCTATTGTGAAAAAGGCTTTACTGTTCTTATTTCCACGTTTTTCTTTATGATATTTCACTTTACTGTGGCCATGACCCTCACCTCCAACTTTCACTCCTAAAACCCTTACACATTCTTCAATAATTTTCTTCTCTGATTATTTTTCTAATAATATATAGTAAGACATGCTATCGTCTTCCTCTAAATTCCCATAAAGATTTATTCATTTATTTTATGAAGATGAGTGCCCTATCTCCATGTGCAAATTTAGGCAAGAAGAGGGCATCAGATCCCACTTATAGATGGTTGTGAGCTACCATAGAGTTGCTGGGAATTTAATTCAGGACCTCTGGAAGAACAGCCAGTGCTCTTAACCACTGAGCCATCTCTCCAGTCCCCAAATACTATATATTAACCCCTCTTGCTTAACACCTAATATCTTTTGCATTATTCTGTAGTGTTTCTGAGCCTTTTATCTTTCATAAAAGATACAGGGGTTTTGTAACTAAGAGAATCTTATCTTAATTATTTCTACATATTTTATCATGTCTAGCACAGTGCTTTTCATGGCACAGATGTACAACAAATTAATGGGTATTTCCTAACCTGAGCTTGATATCAGCAAAGCCTTGTGATATGGGTTACTACTCAGTCAGTGAGTATCAGCACAACCCAAGTAATTATCTGTTGTCTTTATACATTCTGACTTGGAGCTTACATAATACTGTTTATTGGTATTTTAGTAATATTTGTTATATGAGAATCTACCCCGAACTACCTCACAGTACTTCAGCTGTCAACTTGACATAGGTTAATATTACTTGACAGAGGCACAATTGGGAGATTGCTACACAGTCAGATTGACTTGTGATCATGTTTGTGGAGCATTTCCTTGATTTCTAATTGATGTGAGTGTTCAGGCCACTGTGGAGGTGCCACCCCTGGTCAGGTTCCTGGTTCCTGCCTTGAGTTCCTGTTTTGGCTTCTCTTGGTGATTCACTGGAACACTGAAGCTGAAATAAAGCTTCTGCTTCCCAAGTTGCTTTTGATCATGGTGTTTTATCACAGAAACAGAAAGCGAATTCGAAGTGTTCCAAACAAAACTGGTGTACTCAAGTGCACTTAGTCGCCTGAACAGAGGCAATAGTTGGGAATGCCTTTTTATTTGGCTGTGATGCTCGTTGTGGGTCTCTGTGTATGGTGGATAACAGGTTCCACTGTAAGACTTGTAATTTAGGCAACTCCTCATATAATTTATCAACATTTTGACTTTATAGTACCTTATTTGTTTAAACATGGAATTGAAAACAATTTTGCATTGAAAACGTCAGTGGTAGAGCTCCAGGTTTGCATACAGCAATTCCATGTGTACTTGGTGATAGTGGAGATAACAAGTAGAATGGCAGAATCGTACATTCTCACTGCTTCTGGTCAGTTGGTTGTATTTTGAAGTGGTTATTTTAGGAACTTGGCTGTATTTTCAAACTAATCCTTCCTTAGGAAATTAGTATTATTCATAATTTTGCTTTTGTGCTTTCATCTTGCCATATTGACATGGCAGTTATACTTAAGGGCTAAGAATTCCATTGTAGAATGGGGAAAATTTTCAGAATATTAATCAATGTGATATTGGAATGGCACCAAACCATGCAACTAAGAAACTATGCAATTGGCAGGCAAGGATGAGCTAGCTCAGAAAGGAAAAACAGGCAGAAACCTGTAGAAGTTTATAGCTCTGCTCCAGAAAGACGAAAGAAAACAGGGGCAATCTAGCTATAAACTGATGGGCATCACAATTTAGATTACTTGGAAATAATATAATTATAGTGTTCATGAGGATACTACTGATATTTCAATTGACAACACTATATTCCATTGAGTATCAAACATATAGAAAACCCAGTAAATCAAAGACATCTCTGTCTCATAGAAGCACTCTGGAATCAATATGACTTACCAAATAGGGGCTTTAGAAAATGAGTATATGTAGAATATACAGACTAGAAGATAATGACACTTTTTTGATGGTCCAGAAGAACATGCTTTAATTTACAAACTTGATTAGTTTCTTAACTGAGAAATACACTGATTAAAAATATTATTTCAATTTGTCTGTCCCCAACTCCCATCACTAGTGCTACTCTTAATGGACAGAAGAAATCTCTGGTAGCATGTAGACACCTAAGAGTTTACACAGAGAGATGAAAGATGATGAAATGACTGCCTCCTACGTGTTGGTGGGCATTTCTCTTAGCCTTCTGTCATACAGAATTGCTTAAAATTTTTGTTATGAATATACAAACACAGATTTTTTAAAAATATTCTTTTTTCAAGTTTTACAAAGCTGTTAAAGGGCATATTTAATGACTATCTACATGAAGCAGTCTCACCTTCCAATCAAAACAATTTTCTCCTCTCAATCAAACCTTCACATTCAGCTAATCTTTATAAGCCTTTCATGAAGGGCAAACATGGAATATTAACTATTACCCAAACAAGAAATTTACCCTAATGGGAAAAAGATGAATATAACTTAAAGGAATTCCGCTATGAATTTCAATATTGCCCAAAGCTTTTATGGACAACTCAGCATTGAGTACCACTCTGTCTGTCAGTTTGTTGAATTTCAGTGGGTACAAAATTTCTATTCCACTTGCATACAATAACTTTAAGTTCAAACACAGAACGGTAGAATAGGCTAGTTAGCTCAAATGATAGCAATTTATATTAAGTAGCATTTACATATTTAATATTAATTTTTATTTTTTCATTACTTGTCTAAAACGCTCATGAAGGGGAAACAAAATTAATATACCTACTTTCTCTTTTTCTAGATCAAGAAAGATATGAAGGAAACATATGAGGAAGTGATCATCTTAGAAGGAGTGATCAGAAAAACTGATTCTGATTACTCTCAGTGGAGTTACTATTCTCCTTACCCATACTGTCTGAACAGAGAGAGAAGGATGACTATCTAGTTCCACTTGTCATGCTTCATTTATGTATCTCCCCACTGAGACCAGTTTTCAGAGCATAACTTTATCTGTTGCTAATAAAATACAAAAGGAAATAAGACAGCAACTCCACTACCAACAACAACAACAACAACAAAAAACAAGGTTAATCTATTACTTTCTGATTTTTATGGATCATGACCATTATCCCGTTATTAACAACAATGGGCAATACAGTATAGTGAAAACCAAAAATGAACTGTAGAAACAAGCTAATTACATTTATGGTTTTTAATCACCTTCTACCCAAGCCTCGTGCTCATAAAACAACAACTAAAATATTTAATATTAACCACAGTGGGAGTCCTTATTTCTGAGTTTTTCAAAACACATGGCTATTTTAAGATACATTTATAGGGTTAAAATTTGCCAACTATTTACATTAGGGGCTTACACAAATTGCACACACCAACTGAGATCAGCTGAGAAAAACCATCTTCCTGAGAAAGTTTACTCTTCTTGTTTTGGAAGAGGGACTTGGCATAGAACATTCACATTTACCAGGCTACAGCAGCTAGAGTGGGTCTTACCCGGATTCCTTGGCATTCGCTTTCTGCGGTCTCTGAATGCTGCACCTGACTGTAGGGCTTCCAGAAGATTATCCATCACTCCGGTCTCATCACCCTCTGGAGGACGAGAGAAATCGGAATTAATCTTATGGCAATTAAAGTTAAACTACAGGAAAATAAAGGGAAAAACTCCTGTCAGATTTACATAATACCCTTAAATTAAAGACATATATCTATTTTAACATAATGGGTCCTGTCAGTTTCTGGCATCACAGACTACTTTGCTTATTACGCACCATTAAGCAAAATTCATGCCAATCCCACTGTTCTTTCAACTTAAAGACCTTGTCTTTTGTATTATTGATGACACACTCAGTATGCAAATAAACAGTAGCTGATCAGCTACTGCAGCATTTCTGTTAAGATTCTTCTAAGATATTCCTAAGCAAGAAACCACTGACCTGGCTTAATGCAATCAATGTGCAGGGTGTGATTTGATGAAGCGGAGGTACACAAGGTTAAATACTGATTGTATTAATACCTTCAGCATTCAACCATCATATGCGATTATCTCAAAAGGCACTATTTGCAAAACACATTTGCATTCAATTCTTACCTAATCCATATCCTTTAGTCATTTTGAAATGCTGACATTCTATAAAGAAAAGGTGACCACATCATCTGAAAGGCCACATTTTATATTGAGAGACATCAGCCAAAAAGTCTTCTTTGCTATTTAGAATGCTGGTGTGTGCCTAAAGGCTTTTCGTATGGGCAAGAACTATTAGAAACGAGAATGGTGGAGTACTCAAAGGATGCTCATGGAATTCCCTAACAGACACAGCATTTAAGACATTACACCTTACTCTTACCTTTGACAACTCTGATCATCAAGCACACTCCTGATATTTGTAACAGGATTTATAATAAAGTGTCAATTGACAGTAATGTTACAGAGACCTGCACTTTCTCACAATAAATTGCTTAACTGCTGAAAAGAACCCTCACTAGGTGGGTCTTTTGAGCTAACTGTACAGGATCTAGAGTATGGGTTTTGTGGGTAGGAAGGATAAGAAAAGGTGAGGAAGAGGTGAGGGGGAAGATTATATCTCCCATTCTAGTCCAAGGTTAAACTTAAATCCTATTTTTCGTTAAGTAGGCAGTATTACATTATAGGAAAATTTCTTTTATAGGATAAGAAGAAGCTAAAATCACTATGCTCTACAAGTCAACTTGAAATTTCTTCAATGTTACAATTATTTATCCTTTTAAGATATGCTACCTAGGATAGGATATTGAGTAAAAATGGAAAAGAAACACAGAGGTTCTCAGATCCAAGAGCTGGTGAAAATTTAGTAGCGGCAGTATCCCCAGTGATTACAGAAAGATGACCGTGCTTGTAAACATTAAGATCAATGACATATTTGGATCATCACACAGTATTTCCAAAAGAAATAAAAGAGGAACGAAGTAGTTAAAAGCTTGGTATAGATAGAATGTGGCTGGGATAATTAAACCTCATGTATTAGATGCTTTAAATTTCTTATACCTCTTCAGATAGGAATAAGAAAACCAAGACATCACACAGACAGTATTTAAAGGTATCTAGACATGAACCCCATATCATTCATATTAATGAAAACACATTTAAAAAGGATGATATACTTGACATACTTTTGTCAGACCAAGTCTTAGAAATCTAGTGCATATGTACTTTTTAACAATTTACTGGAATTCAGGTGTTCAATAGCACATATGTTTTGTGGCCAACATATTCGGCAGTAAAATTAAAAGCAATGGGAAGCCATGTTACATGATCAAACTTGAGTTTTAGAGAGGCTTGTCAAATAGCATTGAGGCAAAATGGGAGGCAGAAAAATGACTAAGAACATAATATATTTGTCTGAGTAACGAAAAAATTGAAATTATCAATATACTCACTAAGACTCCGCCCTGGGGTAGAGAAGGCTGAGCAGGAGGAGTCTGGATGATTAGGAATAATTAGGCTTAGGAAAACCCGAGGACCTATGTGAAATGTTCCAGGAACGTCCCCAGTTGTGTGTATGTGGGAGGGTGAGTGTGTGTGTGCCAAAGCACACAAATGCAAGCTAGAGCAGAACTTCAAGTGTCACTCTTTCTACCATATTGGAGACAACTTCTCTTTGTTGTTGTTGTCTGTTTCTCCTTTGACCCTAGTTAACACGAGGCTTCTAGAGATTTGCCTGTCATGTCTGCTTCTCACCCCAGCATAGGAGCTCTGGGATTGTAGATACTTTATTTTTGTTGCAAGCAAAAAGTATTAAACATACATAGGTGCTTTTTAAAATAACTTTCAGTAGCTATTTTACTGAGTAAAGGAATATCAAGAGATAATTTTCTAATGTTTTTAGCCATTAAAATGATTATACGTGGGCATGGCTGAGAAGTAAGATTTTATAGTTCACTTTATAACCACCATTGCACAACTAGTTACAGAGAACACCAAGGAGCTCGGTGGGCTGCATATAGTTTCAGGACTCTATGAACAGCTTATTATCTGATAATCTGAAAGGTGTGGCTGACACCTTCTGTTTCAAGTTTCCCACGGTATTTGTCATTCAGTGGATGATAAAGCTCAGTTTTTAGCACCTATTTGGTATAGACTTACTTCCCCCAAAGAGTTTGGGGATGCTACAGATTAAAATAAACACTAGGTAAATTAATATTCTCTGCTATACTTTTGTGCAAAACTATTCCCTGATGGCTAGCACATACTTATGTGAGAGTATTCTCTATGGGCTTCTCACAATTTTACACATTTTTAAAGCCTATTTTTATAGCAATAGTTTTACATGACACAGAACTTCCATCTAAGGTAAATGGTAGGTTTGTCCGTTTAAAAAATTTATATGTTCCTCCAGGGCAAATGCTAAGTAGCTTTGTTTTGAGTCCATTATAATATATTAGGGATTTTCTAAGCTTAGGGCTCCTCTGGAGTGTTGCAAACCCACTGTTTGTGTAGCACCATCTGGCAGCACCTTTGTTCCCCTCTATCAAAGTTGAAGAGCAAGGAAAAGAATTAAGAACATGAGAACACATATCTCCCACTACTTACTATACTATGTGTACCATATGTACACTGTGTGTATGTTTGACCTCTGAGCTATGTACCTTCCAACAACATCTGTTAAGTTGTAGCATGCCAATTTGTTAGCTACACCATTTCTGAAACGATTCTTATTCTCTGCTTTAATTCTTATATCAAACATTGTTAATTAGAATACTTCTTTTGTATCTAGTAACTGAACAGCATCTTGGGCACTTTCATTATTGAAGACTGTACTGCAATTCACCAGGCTTGAGAATTACTAACCTAAACATAATACAAGTTCAATGTAGTTTATCTTAAGTGCTTAGGAACAGGTGTTTGGGGTTTCACAGTCTGTTGGATTTTATAATATTTGCATACACTTTATCGGTTGAGCATACCTAATCCAAGACCCAAATCTTTTCAAAAGTTTCCAATTTGGGAGCAGTACAGATTAAGGATGTCATTTCTTAGAATCTTAAAAACCTGAGCATAACGGCTTCATTGCAGCTTCCTGAAATTTTCAATTTTATAATTAAAGATCTCTGTCAAAACTGAAGAAAGCTGCTAGCAACTAGCAACAAGTGACCCCCCACAAAGAAATAAATGCTTCTTCCTGAGGGTAGGACCCTTCTATGTGAGATAATACCTGCATAAATTCACTTTAAAACTGAAAATGTGTACTCTGTGAACTAGAAAGGCAGGGAAAGACATAATGAATGAACAGGGTCTAAACTAAGACTCCAAAAATGTTAAACGTCTGTAGTAATTTAGGTATGGTAGTTATATATAAATGAAACAGAATGGGAACAAAACCACCAAAAATAACAACCAGTTCAAAGATAGTCAAATCTAGAGTGCAATTAGAGCATATTTGTGGGTGTGCCCATTCTCTCTTTCTGTATGCTATGCAAATTTAAAAACTCACAAATACTGAAATGCACAGATCTTAGGTTAGGTGTAGAGTTTAACTCTTAACAGATTGATATACCCATGTAACTACCACCATACCAAGATACAATCACTCTCCCTTTCTTATCCCTACCACCCAGGCAAACCTCTGATACTAGTTTTGATTGTTATCTGATATTAGTTTTGACTGCCCTTATTATATGCTTTAAAAGAGTGTTTTAAGCTGGGCGGTGGTGGTGCACTCTATTAATCCCAGCACTTGGGAGGCAGAGGCAGCTCAAAGCAAGCCTGGTCTATAAATCGAGTTTCAGGACAACGAGGGCTACACAGAGAAGTCTGGTCTGGAACAAACAAACAAACAAACCAAAACTTACTTTAGTATTTATTTTACATGTATGGACATTTTTTCCGTGTGTCTGTGTACCATGTGTGTGTCTGGTGCTCATACAGGCTAGCAGAGGGTGTTGGATCTGCTGGAACTCTATTTTCAGATGGCTGTGAATCACCACATCAGTGCTGGTGGTCAAACCCAGGTTTTCTGGAAGAGCAGCAAGTGCTCTTAACTGCTGAGCTATCAGTCCAGCCACTTAGCATATAATTTTATGGTGCTGGGGTTTGAAACCTGGACCTTGTGCTTATTGAGCACGCACTCTACCAATGAACTACATCCCTAGTTCCAAACCATACATTTCTCAGTGAGTAAAAGAGCAGTTGAATCATCATAGTCATTTGAAAGAAAGTAAGTATGGCATGAGGGAGAAAGTTGAAGATCCGCATTTACAATGGGATAGAAATGATCAAAGCATAGATCTAAACAGGTTTGGTTATCAAAGTAAGAAGATTCCAAGGGTGCCAAGCAACTCTGAAAATCCATGGTGAGATTTTCAGGAGGACAGGAATGTGATGAGGGTGACATTAACGATCAGCCTCACAGCAGCGTGCAAAACAACAGACCAGCTTGGGAGAGAAATCAATTGTATTCTTAAAGGAAAAAAGAATAGACTTTAATCCACAATGACAAACACTGTTCTGCATACAAGCTTGGACCAAGCTCAGCCATTTGGACACTTTTGGGCAAGGCGTAAGTAGCAAAGTCAAATCGGTTTTGTGAACAAGGTCATCAGCAGTAGTAAATGGA